CGCTCTTTGACGAGCGCTCCAACGACTACTTCTCCATCGACGCCGAGACGGGCAGCGTGGTTACTGCCCGCAGCCTCGACCGGGAGACCAAGGACACCCACGTGCTGAAAGTGACCGCCTCCGACCACGGCTCCCCGCGCCGCCGCTCCGCCACCACCTATCTGACAGTGACCGTCAGTGACACCAACGACCACGAGCCCGTGTTCGAGCAGCCGGAGTACCGGGAGAGCATTCGGGAGAACCTCGAGGTGGGTTACGAGGTGCTGACCATCCGCGCCACCGACGGGGACGCCCCGGCCAACGCCAACATGCTTTACCGCCTGCTGGAGCCGGGGGCCGGCGATGGCGTCTTCGAGATCGACCCGCGCTCCGGCGTCGTGAGGACCCGAGCCCCGGTTGACCGCGAGGAGGTCTCTGAGTATCACCTGGTTGTGGAAGCCAACGACCAGGGCAAGGATCCGGGACCACGCAGCGCCACGGCTATGGTGCACATCACCGTCGAGGATGAGAACGACAACTACCCTCAGTTCAGTGAGAAGCGCTACCTGGTCCAGGTGCCGGAGGACGCCCCGGTGAACAGCCAGATACTGCAGGTGCAGGCCACAGATCAGGACCGGGGCAGCAATGCCCAGGTGCACTACAGCATCGTGAGCGGCAACCTGAAAGGCCAGTTCTACATCCACTCTTTCTCTGGTGCTATCGACCTGATCAACCCTCTGGATTATGAGACTATCCGGGAGTACACGCTCCGGATCAAAGCCCAGGATGGGGGCAGGCCTCCCTTGATCAACTCCAGTGGCATGGTGTCAGTGCAGGTTGTGGACGTGAATGACAATGCCCCCATCTTTGTGAGCACTCCCTTCCAGGCCACAGTGCTGGAGAACGTCCCTCTGGGCTACTCGGTGCTGCACATCCAGGCTGTGGATGCTGACTCTGGGGAGAATGCCCGCCTGGAGTACAAACTTATAGAGATGGCACCGTCAGCTGGAGGTGCCTCTGTAGCTGGTGACTCTGGGTTCCCTTTTCAGATCAACAACAGCACAGGGTGGATCACGGTGGCTGCAGAGCTGGACCGAGAGACTGTGGAGAACTATCACTTTGGAGTGGAGGCCAGAGACCATGGTGTGCCGGTCATGACCTCCTCAGCCAGCGTGTCCATCACTGTCCTGGATGTGAATGACAACAACCCCACCTTCACAGAGAAGGTGTATCACCTCAGACTGAACGAGGACGCAGCTGTGGGCAGCAGTGTCCTGACCCTGACAGCAGTGGACCGAGACGTTAACAGTGTTGTGACTTACCAGATCACCAGTGGCAACACCAGGAACCGTTTTGCCATCACCAGCCAGAGCGGAGGGGGACTGATCACGCTGGCCTTGCCCCTGGATTACAAGCAGGAAAGGCAGTATGTACTCACGGTCACTGCCTCTGACGGCACTCGCTTCGACACTGTCCAGGTCTTCATCAACGTTACAGATGCCAACACGCACCGCCCAGTCTTCCAGAGCTCCCACTACACAGTGAGCGTCAGTGAGGACAAGCCCATCGGCACCTCTATTGTCACCATCAGTGCCACGGATGAGGACACGGGGGAGAATGCGAGAATCACTTACATTTTGGACGACAACATCCCCCAGTTCCGCATCGACCCTGACACAGGCACCATCACCACCCTGATGGAGCTGGATTACGAGGACCAGGCCTCGTACACGTTGGCCATTACAGCTCATGACAATGGCATCCCCCAGAAGTCGGACACCACCTACGTCGAGATCCTCATCCTGGATGCCAATGACAACGCGCCCCACTTCCTGCGCGACCGCTACCAGGGCTCGGTGTTTGAGGATGTGCCGCTCTCCACCAGCGTCCTGCAGCTGTCTGCCACCGACCGTGACTCGGGCCTCAATGGCCGTCTGCTCTACACATTCCAAGGTGGTGACGACGGAGATGGAGACTTCTACATCGAACCCACTTCTGGAGTGATACGCACGCTGCGTAAGCTGGACCGCGAGAACGTGGCTGTCTACAGCCTGCGGGCCTTTGCTGTGGACAGGGGCAGCCCCCCGCTGAAAGCCTCCGTGGATATCCAGGTGACTGTGCTGGACATCAATGACAACCCCCCTGTCTTTGAGAAGGATGAATTTGACATCTTTGTGGAGGAGAACAGCCCCGTGGGCTCTATTGTGGCACGAATCAGCGCAGCTGACCCCGATGAGGGGACCAATGCACAGATCATGTACCAGATAGTAGAGGGGAACATCCCGGAGGTCTTCCAACTAGACTTACTCAACGGAGACCTCACAGCTCTAATGGACCTGGATTACGAGAGCCGGACAGAGTACGTGATTGTAGTGCAGGCCACCTCAGCCCCTCTTGTGAGCCGGGCAACAGTGCACATCCGCCTCCTGGACCAGAACGATAACCCGCCTGTGCTGCAGGATTTCCAGATCCTCTTCAATAACTACGTGACCAACAAGTCCAACAGCTTCCCCTCTGGTGTGATTGGCAAGATCCCAGCTCACGATCCCGATGTATCTGACAGCCTGGCCTACACCTTTGTGCAAGGCAATGAGTTAAACTTGCTCCTTTTGGACCCTGCCACCGGGGAACTCAAACTCAGTCGTGATCTGGACAACAACAGACCCCTGGAAGCCCTGATGAAAGTGTCGGTCTCAGGTAAGCAAGCGTTTGAGGCTCATAAAGCACGTCATTCTGCTGGTCAGACCAGTATGGGGGCATGGGCATAAATAACCCACTTGCAGTTTAGTGCACAGCTTTTGGATCCTGAAGCATTAATCTGTGCAAAATTTCTGGAGAGGAACCACAAAAACATATCAAGCCCATGTGCTGTGGATTGAAGTGGTGCACTGAAGTTGTTAGTAAACAGGAATCATGAGGGTAAATAAATACAAGTGTGCGTGGAAGAGTTTACGCTCCCTCAGCTGAGGTGGTTCTTTGGCTGAAGCTTTTCTGATGTGGTTGCATGAAGGTAACAGAGGGTATAACTTGCAGTGGTGTA